GCCCCTTCCCTCCCCCGCCTGCCACACTGCGCCTAACTCGGCATTAATCCAAAGCTTATTTTCTAAGAGTGAGCTCTGGTGGAGACGGATTGGGTCTGTCGCGGGCACCCCCACCCCCCGACGAGGGCCGGGTGGCGGCGGACCAAAGAAAAGAAGCATCTCAGTGTCCCATTCCATGATCTGGTGGCCAGTGGCCACCCTCTGCTTCTCCCTCGGAGACACCAAACTGCCAAAAACAAGCCACGTCACAGGCCACACTTCACACAGCCAAGCCTGGGGCTGCCTGGATCTCCTGGTTCCGACGACACTGTCAGGAGGCCAGCCGCCCGCTTCCGGCTTCCTCAACAGCCAAAGAGAGGCTGACCCAGTTCCTGGAAACAAGTCTCTTCCTGATTGGGGGATGGGGGAATGCTGAAGTGTGGCCACCTCTTTTCAAGTGGGCAGCACAGGAAAGGGGAAAGGAGGTGGGATTTCTGTCGAGGCTCCAGGTATTTGGAAACAAGTCAATGGCATTAAGTCGAAGGAATTGATTTGTAAAGTCGGTGCAGATGTAAGCCTCTGAGCGCCCAAGTGATCACGCCCGAGTTTCTAACATTCTTTTAATGTATAACAAAAGCAGGGGACAAAATCTTCTGGCTTTACCAAAAAAAAAACAAACCAGTTTCGGCAAACGTTTGAAGTGTCACGGTTTATGAGGGCTTCCGCTCTGCCGTCCGCCGTCCCCAGCCCCTGCCTCTGCCCCCCACCCCACGGACATGAGCGGGCAGTGATTTTTTCTGTGGCAAAGACCATGTAGGTTTGGCGGTGCGTTCTTGGGAATGGAGGGGAAGCATTCCAATCAGCTGTCCCTGGCTGGGAGGAGTCTCGTTGAGGGGGAGGGGGTGGGGGTATCAGGGTGGGGGCGACATTTGGGTTCATAGACATAAGGGGTTCCTCGCGGGCACGATGGGGACCCGTGCCAAGGTGGCTTCTGTGGATCTTAGCCTGTTTCCCAGGAATCTTGTGTGATTAAGTCCACTTTCCAATTTGTAACATCCGGGCTCGAATCTGAACTTGACCGCAGAACGCCCCTGACCTGGTAACATTCCTGATCTTGGGACAGAGGTCTTTGCTCCAGCGGGTGAGGTGGGCAGATGTATGAATTCTAGAATATAATAATGGGCCCTGCCCATCCCTGTCCTGTCTCCCTCTCCACCTGCCCCTCTAACCTCCTTCCGCTGGACAGGGCAGCACCCCTGGCGTGTCAGGGCAGCGTCACTGCCAAGTTTCTGTACTGCTGCCTTGTGATTTCATTTTGGCTAACCATGGGTTTTCTTAGGGGAAGCTTGATCAGAGTGAATCGAACCTTGTGAGTCAGCCGCTGGGGCCTGGTGATCTCTGGGACCCCTCCCCAAGTTGGTAGAAGGAAGTCACCCGGCCTTCTAGGTGGTGTGACAGGCAGTGACTCAGTTTACCCAGCACCTGCCACGTGCGAGGCTCTCCCTGACCTTGTGCAGAAAGGTCGGGGGTTGGGGCAGGAGTGGCCGAACGCAGACCGGAAACTATTGTGCACAAGTCTTTCCAGAGGAGTTTCTTAATGAGATATTTGTATTTATTTCCAGACCAATAAATTTGTAACTTTGCAGTGGCTCGAGTCTTTTTTCTCTCCCCGAGAGATTGTGTGTGCTGTGTGCACCATCGTGGTATAGAGAGGAGTCTTTCAAGGAGGGATTGGCTGTCCTTGATACCTGGGGACCCCTTTATCAAGGCCACCTACTGTCACCCTGGTTGATGGCTGACGGGCTTAGTCGTAAGCTACCTGGCAGGGGCTGTGGGAGTCAAGTTTCCACACCCTGTTACCGTTTCTATTTCCCCTACTCATTCTTGGGAAGCAAGTTGCTAAGTGCAGCCCACACTGGAGTACACTGATGAGTTTCTTAAGCTGTAATTAGTTGTGGACGCTTTGAAATCCTCATGACCACACAGCGGTTGGACACACTATTGTGTATGGGCCCTGTGTCTAGGATATAGGCTTGGAATCTGCAGGGGGCCTTGGCTGGGCTCAGGAGAACAGGAAGGCATTCCCAGCAGGGGGGCCATCCTGGGCTCCAGCAGAGGGTGGGTGGTAGGTGCCTTTGTGAGGAACCTGCCGTGTAGACCCAGGCAAGTGAGCTTGTGTTCTGTGCCTGACGGGAGGTGAGGCAGGAGTGATGGTCTTGGGAGGGGGGTGCATCTACAACTCCGCCCTTTCCCAGCGGAGACCAGACGGGAAGGCAGGTCCTTTGTGCCACGATGACCCCTCAAGGAAGTGAAAGAATCCCTCAGACTCCCTTCTCAGGAGAGTTTTAAAGGCATAAAATGGAAAAGGTAAAGTTACAAAAGAAACCACCTCCAGTGAGGTGTCATTACCCAAACGTTAAAATTGCGTGAGCCAGTCCTATGTGCTTCTTGATTAAGTTCAGGTCACAACATGACTGCAATTTCACCGTAGCAGTGAGCATCCTTTGAGACCCCAGCCACAACTGTGATAAGACAATTATCTCTGTTTACAACTGGTGATATTACTGGGATAACTGCAGCTAATTAGCTGTTAGCAAAAACCAAAATGTGGGCCGGGCATGGTGGCTCACGCCTCTAATCCCAGCACTTTGGGTGGGAAGACCACTTGAGGCCAGGAGCTCCAGGCCAGCCTGGGCAACATAGAAAGATATTTCTACAAAAAGTCAAAAAACTACCCAGGCATGGTGGTGCATGCCTGTAGTCCCAGTTCCATGGGAGACTGAGGCAGAAGGATTGCTTGAGCCCAGGAGGTTGAGGCTACAGTGAGCCATGATCGTGCCACTGCACTCTAGCCTGGGCAACAGCGTGAATCCCTGACGCAAAACAAAAACAAAACCAAGATGCCTTTTCCCTGTCCAAGAATATGGCTCTCCGAGTTATATCCACCGATCACTGGATGGTCCGGGTACCTAGGTTAAGAAGCCCTGCCTTCGAGGCTGGGAGAAGCATGTTGATTTGTGATTATTGAACAAACATAACAAGGGCCTTTCCTGTCTCTGGTCCTGTGTAAGAGTCAGGAGCAAACATAAGTCGGACGGTAGAGGAACTAGCAAGTGAGCACTGTAGCTGGGGCATTATATCAGCTTGAGGGCTAGGGTTGGCACAGAGAGCCCCTGGATTCGCCAGGCCTGGCTTCCAGCAGGGAATGGTTACAGGTGCTTACATGAATCTGATGCTCTTTGGAGATGCTTGCCCAGAAGCTGTTTTGCCAGCTGGAGATCTATTTCTGTTCTCTTGATGCTTGTCTTGGGTTCAAATCCCCCGGAGTTGGGTTTCAGCAGCAGCTGGGAGACAAGGTGTGCAGTGAGAATCCATCCTGGCCCCTTTTCAGACACGGTCTCACAATGAAAGTCGTTGAACTGGGCATGCCATGTAGCCTAAGTCCACAGGCTTACATATCTGTCCACAGTGTCCCCTTGGAATCTAAGGACAGAGGTGAGACGTGCCCGTGGGTTGGGCACGGGACTGGAGAGGTGGCCTAGTGAGCTGTTCTTTCTAAGAACAGATTTTTATGCGATTCTGAAGCATAAAACGGTGGCCGTAACCCTAGGGGTACCTGACCCTTCGGTTCTTGGACCCGAAATCAACCAGGTCTTTGTGTCTTTTAAGGGGAAGAATTTGATTTGTCCAGCTTTACTCCGGTGTCCACTCCCTGTCCAATCAACGGTGACGGGGCTCACATTACTCCCGCCCCCCTCCCCCATAGTCGTGCAACAGAGTCTGAGTAATTGACGTGTCCTGGAGCAGTAGTCCCCAACCTTTTTGGCAAACCGAGGGGAGGTGCAGGGAGGATAGTTTCAGCTTGATTCAAGCATGTTACCTGTATTTACTGCTTAGATCAGTGGTGGAATTTGATTCTCATAAGGAGTGGTAACCTGGATCCCTCCCATGTGCAGTTCACAATGGGGTTGGCAGGCCTATGCGAATCTAATGCCGCTGCTGATGTGACAGAAAGCCGAGCTCAGGAAGTAACACCAGGGATGGGGAGTGGTTGTAAATACAGATGAAGTTTTGCTGGCTTGCCAGAGGCTCACCTCCTGCAGTGCAGACCAATTCCTAACAGGCCACAGTCCTGTACTGGTCCACTGCCTGGGGGTTGGGGACCCATGCCCTGGAGGGTAAATTGGCACACCCTTTGCACAGTTAAAAACATTGCCAGCCAAGCTCCCTACGGCAGAAGATGCCTTTCCTCATCCTTGCGTAGAGAAGTCTTTCCCGAATGTCCAGCCCGACCCAGGAAGCAGGGACCACCCTCCAGAGAGGACACATTCAGCGTTTGTATAATGCAAATCATGGTGTGTGTCCTTTCCCCCCGAAAGCTAGTAAGTTCTTAATTCTGTATCTCTAGGGCCAGCACACAACAGTTGCTCTTATTTATTTATTACTATTATTTTTGAGTTGGACTTTCACTCTGTTGCCCGAGCTGGAGTGCGGTGACACGATCACAGCTCACCACAGCTTTGACCTCCTGAGCTCAGGCGATCCTCCCACCTCAGCCTCCTGAGTAGCTGGGACTAGAGGCAGGCACCAATACACCGGGTTATTTTTAAAAAATTTTTGTAGAGGTGAGATGTCGCTATGTTGCCCAGGCTGGTCTCAAACTCCTGTCCTCAAGTAATCCTCCCGCCTCAGCCTCCCAAAGTGCTGAGATTAGAGGTATGAGCCACAATGTGCAGCCTAGGAGTTTAATAAATAAATAAATGAATAACCAAACAAACAGATGCAAACTTCCACTAATAATATGAATGCTTAGTGTACATTATAATTTATTTCCCCTTTTAATTCTTTATCTGTGAAGAGTTATCTTTGCTTCATAGGTAGGAAAACCAAGGCACAGAGATTAAACGGCGTTCCCTGACATTCCTAAAATGGACCCTGTCCCTTG